GAGCCCAGGCTGGGGGACAGGGGCTTTGGGTGGGGGGCAAGGGGCACAAGCAGGGCATCCTGCCATGTACCCCTTGCCCTCATTTTGTTTTTTTGCCATTCTGGCACTTGGTACCTTCCAAGGTAGGCATTGTGGTGTTTTTTTGGCACCCCAGCCAAAAAACGTTGCCTACCCCTGCCCTAGCATCTGATTTGCTGAGTATTCACAGCTGCATCTAAAGTCAGTGGGAACTGGTTTCTCAATATATATTAAGGGCTTTAGAATGGTTAGTGTGCTGAAAAAGATCACATTTCTCTGCCTCTCATATTGGGCACGCAAAATGAGTGGAAACTTTTTACCTTACTTTGTCTGTGCCTCTACATCCCTTGTCAGTAAAATGGGGATATTTACTTTGCCAGGGTGTTGTGAACATAAATTCAGCAGTTTGTGAAGTACTCAGATACTGTAGTGATGAGAACCTTAGAAAAGGCCATAAGTAAATAGCTAATTCTGTCTTCAAATCAGGGTTTGACTAGCCTGAAATAAATAAGGAATGGAGCCATACCTTAAATAATGAAAACAAATATTGAATAGCTGCTCATTAAGTTAGCACTGCCCTTTCTGTTCACTGAATGAGGCAGAAGTCCTGTGGAAAAAATGTCATCATATAATTAAAGACTAGAGCATACTGCCTGCCCACCAGGCGACAAATTAGTTTGCTTGGACAACCTTCTGACTACACCGTTAAATATTACAACCTTAATAATGTTCCTTTAAAGTAGTTTGTATGTAATGTCATCGTCTGTGCTGAATGCTTACTTCAAATACTAAGTGTAGGTTTGAGAAACAAGTATCTCTGCAGCTTGGATTTTGACATTAAGTGATGATTAGATATTTGCTGGCCTGATCTGTCTCCTCTCAGCCTGCTTCTTCTGGAGTACCTGCAGACTCCTGATCTGCAAAGAGTTTCAGGTGTTGGGCTTGTTTAATTTTTCTTGTCCTCTCTCTCTCAGCATTTTAAATAACTGAAGGAGGTTCCAGAAATAAAAAGTCCAATCTTGTTGAGCAGCAACAAGACACAACCAGCCTCATGATAATGATTAAGATCATTAAGAGCAAACAGTACCCTTGACTACACCAACTACACCTTGTCATGCATCCATGGCCGCCATACCCCAAACAGTACGCCAACCACACCTTGTCATGCATCCACAGATGCATCTCGAGCAGGTCCAGGGAGATGATACTCCCCCTCTATGCAGCACTGGTCAGGCCGCAGTTGGAGTACTGCATCCAGTTCTGGGCGCCGCACTTCAGGAGGGATGTGGATAACATGGTGAGGGTCCAGAGGAGGGCCACACGCATGATCTGAGGACAGCAGGGCAGGCCTTATGAGGAGAGGCTACAGGACCTGAACCTGTTCAGCCTCCACAAGAGAAGGCTGAGAGGGGATCTGGTAGCCGTTTACAAACTTACCAGGGGGGACCAGCGGGGATTGGGAGAGACCCTGTTCACCGGAGCACCTCCCGGAGTAACAAGGAATAATGGCTGTAAGTTGTTTGAGAGTAGGTTCAGGCTGGACAGTCAGGGCAGGTAGGAGCTGGAACCACCTTCCAAGGGAAGTGGTGCTGGCTCCATCCTTGGAGGTCTTTAAGAGGAGGCTTGACAATTACCTAGCTGGGGTCATATAAGCCCAGTATTCTCTCCTGCCCAGGGCAGGGGGTCGGACTTGATGATCTACTTAGGTCCCTTCCGATCCTACATCTATGAATCATGGCTGATGTGCACTTGACATTATTTTTTGTTCTAATAGGAACATTTGCATTGGTGCCTATTAAAGTGTGATGGTTTTATTTAAAGACATTTTACTACAGAAGAATTTATTTTTAAAGACATCCATTGAGCACAATGACAGAGTTTAAAACCTTCTGAAGAACTTGTTAAAAAGAAATCAAAGTGAAAAACCACTTAGAAAGGACCACAATAATCTAATTAATCTTCTGCTAAACCTCTTCATGAAACGAGTATCAGGCAGAGATTATGCCAGGGTTCAGCTGAACTCCACTGCCCCAGGAGCCATTGTGCTTCAGGGTACTGCAATGCCTCCTAGATCTGTAAAGGAACTAAAAATATTGTGAGGGAAATGCATCCAAGGTACTCTGTACTCTCTTCTGCAGTTGGCCAGATCCAATAGATGTGGAGGGCATGTGGAGCCACTTGTTCCATCTGCTCCCTACTGCATTAAAGTTTGCTTGTGTACCAGAAAGCAGCTGAGAGGTACTAGTAAGAGGGAGTTCATAGGTATTGCAGGCATGGCTGGTGTCTCTGCTGGGGATACAGTGGGATGGAAAACATCTCTTTGCATTATCCCTTTCCTGTACATAGAAACCAACCAGAGTTGGGTAGCAAACTAGCCCAGACCCTTATCTCCAGAGACTTGTCCTTTGACTCCTACCAGCAGACAGACTGTTTAATCCTGGCACAGACCTCAAGTGTGAAGCTTCAGCTTTCATCATAGCTGCTGCACATCTTGTTAATTAACAACCCTGAATTTTAGTCAAGGTTTTTAATATTTTTAAGCATTAAATGAGAGGAGAGATTTTAGCTGTGAGGAGGTCCCTTTTGTTTTTATTTAGACCAAAATTTCCACCTCTGAAATTATGAAGATATTTTTGGTAACATACAATCCTTTACAGTCCATAGTTAGGTTTGGTCTGCACACACAGTTACTCTGGAATAGCTGCCCTTGATTATTCCTTTGGAAGTGGTTTAAACTAATTGAGATTAAGGCACTCTTATTCTGGATTAAGAGCATGCACGCATGAAGACAAGCAGATATAATCGATCCATTTTAAAATTCACACCCTACTTCTTTTCTGGCTATTCACATCTACACAAGCCCTAAGGGCCTTATCCAGGCCCCACCAAGTAAGAGTTTTTTACTGGCTCTAACAAAAACTGAATCAGGCCTTAAATTTGTGAAACCACCTCCCTTCTAGAAACCATGGTGGGTATCCAAAGCTGATTATTGCAGACATCAATACCACTAGGTTCAATCCTGCATATCACTAGTACTCCCCAAATCCTTGCTGAAGTCAGTGGATGAGTTATAAGAAATACAGAATCTGTCCCATACTCTCTCATATTCATAGGGACTTTTTCAAACTAAAGGACTAAAATGTTGTTTCAAAATAGAATCCTTTTTTTCTCTAGATTTGTTTGTGCTTGACACCAGAGTGGACTGTCTGACAATGAGTACAATTTGATGTAAATCACAGAGCAAAGGCATATGCTTTTTTTCTCTCTCCTCCAAAGCCATGCACAGTAGGATATGGGAAATGTCAACAATAATTAAATAAAACTATAACCTCCTAGCAACACTAACGTACCATGTAAAACTTAATATTTGTTATGAAGCTTTAAACATTTGTTTGACGGCTGCTTATTAGAGATAATCTAGGCCTTTTTAAAATGTTTCATTTCTGGGATATTAAGAATGAAAGAACAGTGAATATAAATGAGTACACAGCAAGCTATGAAAAGTTGTACAGATTAGCTAGAATGAGGTGGGGGGGTTTTCAAATGATATGTGGAGAAGTAAGGCATCTCTCTAAGACAGGAATTAAAAGTAAGATAGCCTTCTTCTGCTGATAATGTTTTGGAATTTGATTTGCAGAGAATGGAAAAAAGACCATTTCTGCAGCTGATGAAAACTGGCATAAATCTACTAAAGTCAATGGAGCCATCCTATTTTATATCTGTTGTTTATCTGGACCAATGTATTCTTTAGAACCTAAGAAACAGCAGGAAGAATGAGGAAGGGGAAAGCAAAAGCAAAGGCAGAAATGTCCAAGGTTCTTGTCTGAGGCAATAATATTAAAAGACTAGTAGTTGTTATAAACACAAAAGGTAGAATTTTGTAGGTTTGTTAACTAATATCATTTTATCTTCTAGGAAAATGATGAAGAGAAGATGTTTTGAGTTGGTCTGATGAAAATGCAACAGAAACAATTTCTCAAGAATTCTACATAACTTTATTAAATGTAGGAATTTTAAACCCCAAACAGTTACCATCTAAAAGCACCAGTCCCTTCCCCTCACCGTCTATTCCGTAGGGAAAAAAATGAATTTTACAAACTGTACAACAGAAGCCAATGTGGCTATCCAGCCAAAAACAGTAACTGAAAAGATGCTTATTACCTTGACCTTGGGCACAATCACAGTCTTGACCATGCTGCTGAATTCTGCTGTAATTGCAGCAATCTGCACAACCAAGAAATTACACCAGCCAGCAAATTATTTAATATGCTCGCTAGCTGTGACAGATCTGCTTGTTGCTATTCTAGTCATGCCTTTGAGTATTATATACATAATGATGGATAAATGGACTCTGGGACACTTCATCTGTGAGATATGGCTCAGCGTTGACATGACTTGTTGCACATGTTCAATTCTTCATCTTTGTGTCATTGCTCTGGATAGATATTGGGCAATCACAGATGCCATTGAATATGCCAGGAAAAGAACTGCAAAAAGGGCTGGGCTTATGATAGGCACTGTATGGACTATATCCATTTTCATTTCAATGCCACCATTGTTTTGGAGGAATCATCACAGCATCAGTATTCCAAGTGAGTGCCGTATTCAACACGATCATGTTATCTACACAATTTACTCCACTTTTGGAGCATTTTATATCCCCTTGACTTTAATACTGATCCTCTACTACAGAATTTATCATGCCGCAAAGAGCCTTTACCAAAAACGTGGTTCAAGCAGACACCTAAGCAACAGAAGCACCGACAGCCAAAACTCTTTTGCCAGCTGTAAGCTCACACAAACCTTCTGTGTGTCAGACTTCTCTACATCTGACCCCACCATGGAATTTGATAAAATAAATGCTTCGGTGAGAATCCCTCCCTTTGATAATGACCTAGACCTGGCTGGGGACCGTCAGCAGATTTCAAGTACACGGGAACGAAAGGCTGCTCGTATTCTGGGACTGATTTTAGGGGCTTTCATGTTGTCTTGGCTGCCATTTTTCATTAAGGAGCTTATCGTGGGCCTTAACATTTGCACTGTGTCTGAAAAAGTAGCTGACTTTTTGACCTGGCTTGGTTATGTCAACTCCCTTATCAACCCTCTGTTGTACACTAGTTTTAATGAAGATTTTAAGCTGGCCTTTAAAAAGCTCATTAGGTGTCGGGAACATTCTTAAAAGTATCTAAAAATGTTGATGACATGACTCCTTGGCCTTAAGAATGAGTAAAATAACCAGAATTTAGCAGCCTTTTTGCTTGGAAAAGAGAATTTGTGTTTCTCTATATGCTCAACTTCTCTTTAGCCTGTAAGTTGTTCTGCAGTTTTTTACCTCTGTTGTTATTTATGGTCCATAGTTTCAAATAAATTTTATTATACTGAGGCACAGATGTTTTCAGCAAGTGAACACAAAAAATAACGTATCCATTCATTTTTAGGATATTTTGCTTATGAATAATCTATCGTTCAAAAATCAAATTTCTTTTGTATTTTTCATTGATAAATGTCTAAATGAGCTTGCACTAAAGTTACATGAAGGTTGATCATCTAAATCCACATAAGTATATACTTGGTAAAAAATAAATTCAGCTCATGGTTGTGCCATTAACTACCAACTGAATTGTAAACCTTTGATACCGTCTCCTGAGGAAATATTGCCGTTCATTGAGAAGGAAAATAATTCTAATTTTCAGTGTAACTCATGGTAAAATAAACCTGCAGAGTCAAATTCTGCCATTCTATACATTATTCTTAGTCTGATGTAAATCCAGTGATATATCTGGAGTCAGATTTTGGCTCATTCCTTTTAAAAGAGGAGCTTGGCATATACTCCAAGAGATCTATATAAGCGACTTTGGCATTAGAGAAATAGGTTAACATATTATCCAGTTAACAGCTATAATCAGATGGCTATTGGCAAAAGCATAGAACGGCTATTGATTTGATTTGTGTGCTAATTGAGAACAAACTTAGCAGTGTCATGCTTATAGAGCCAGCTGCACCTCTGTCACTTTTCAAGTTTAATTATATCCCTTCAGGGCTTGGGCCTTGTGCCACATCTTGATGTGGAAGTACCACAAGTCTTCCATACATCAACTGGGCATGGGGCTAAAGAACACTGTATCACTCATTCTTACCTACAGAGCCAACTGAGTTCACTGGGTTGCAATTCTTCCCTCAGGCACAAATGGCCAGTGCTAAACCATAGCAAAACACCCTGCTAAAAACCAAAGTGTTGTTTATTTTTAACTGTAGGAACAAAGGAGTTACAGGAAACAATCTACTACACACAAGTCTTTCTTACCTAAAGGCTTACCATCTCTGGTGATAACCTTGGCAAGACTGATTTCTTCTGATGCCTCCAGGGTGTCCTATGTCTCTGTCTAGTTCCCCCAAAAAGCTAATTCCTCTCTCTCTAAAGAGGTTGCCCTTTTATCCTTCCTCTATGTTTAGAGACTTTTGCCTGTTCCGCTCTAAACCAGCTTTGTAAATAGGCTGGAAAAGAGACAAAATTAAAGCATTAGTTTTGACGCTGTCCTTTATACAACTGTCCTTGTTTTTTTCTGAAAGACTGTTTTCTGCCGTTCCTTTTCTCCTTGCTTCTTTTTTCAAAGTTCTGTTGAGCGAAATTAATATATTAATATAGAAAGCAGCTCAGTAATGCAGCAAACATTCAGTGTTCATGTATTATAACATGGCAGCTCCAAATCCACCATAGCAACTATTCACTATAGTGAAAATGTTGTGATAGAATAAGCCTTGGCAATGTGCATTGCACAGTGTTTTGAAACTTTGATGTATGACGTTCATCTCTTCATCTTGAGTTTAAGAAACTGTAAGTAACACAAGACTTTCTTGCAGTTGAGAGATATCATCCTTAGTTCTGGGAAAGAACATTTGTCTGGAAAGAAAGTGTTGTTCTCCCTGGTAGCTGACTACAAATTGAATGTGAATGTGAAAAAAGTGTGACCCAGAGCATATCCCATCTGTAGTGGCATTCTGCATTTAATGATTATAAAAGACTTATTTGCCTGAGCTCAAATATGTTCATCACTAGAAGCTTTTCTGAAGCTATGACTGTAGCTACTGCTACAAACTGCCTGGAATCCTAGTCCTGTTAATGTTTAGCAGCTAAAATGGGGGGGAAATATCTTATTCCACTGAAAAGTTCTGGTGGGAAAGTCCATGAATCCATTACAATTTCTCCTCTTTGCAGTTTGTCCAATAACCCAGAGCACTGCTGTTAGGGTGATTTCTGTCTCTCAACCAATGACTGTCTAACACAGTGATTCTCAGCAAGAGTGCCATACTGCCCTGGGGTGCCTAGAGATCATCTCAAGGGTACACTGGGGTGCCACACAATGTTAGTACTGTTAGGTTTACAAGCATGATTTAAAAGATAAACCCAGCAATTTCAAATAGAAATCCATAGTTGTGGTGTTCCAGAGTTCTTTGCAACAAAAAAACTGCTCCGTTATTTTTCTGTACAGTAGTAAAAAAAAAAAAAAAGAATAAAAATTAAGGACTGGCATTTTCCAAAGGGTGTCTCAAGTCTATTGCAGGGTACCTCAAGTCTAAAAAGGTTAAGAATCACTGGTCTATGTTAAAAATGCATAAACAATCCTGAAAGCAGGGACCAGACCCCATGTTCCCCTCCCCCACATCCCAACAGAGGCAGATTTCCTTTTGTTTTTTTCTCCCCCCCGGACTCTATTCAATTTTATATGAAATGTCCATTGGTTACAATGCAATTAAATCCAGTAGCAGAGAATCCTAGACCCCGTCCTCCTAACAGAGTGCCTACATCATTGGACGATGGAGGTACGATCACTCTTGCTTACTTTCCTTCTGGCTCCCTGAATATTGTTCCTTGGATGTGCAGTTCACCAGCTTCAACAGGAGAGGTGGAGAGATAATTCACATGGACCAGCCCATGGGCTGGTGTTTATGGCAATACTACTGGAGGTTGGAGATGTGCCTGTGAATTCCTTCAGGCTGAGGAAGACCCAAGAATACGGGCTTTCTACTTCCTGGACAAGGGTGTTAGCCACTCCCTAAGTGGCCCCAGCACATGGCCGAGTGGCTGGGATGGGGCTGTGGGCAGGCAGGAAGCAGCATCCAGAAGCAGAACAGGTGGGTGGGCCAGGGCTGGAAATGCAGGGCAGTGACAGCACAGAGCCAGGGCCCATGGCAGAGCTGCGATCTACTCCCCACACGTCGCTGTCCGCAGAACTGGTGCCTGGCGCAGCAGCATGCGGGGAGTGGACCATAGCTCTGCCCAGGGCCCAAGCCCCACACTGTCACCACCCCATGATCCCAACCCAGCTGCACCCAGCCAAGGCCCTATCCCACCTGCCCAGCTGCACGCCCTGCCTCCACGGGTCCCATAAAGTCCATTGTTTTCAATTCTACACAAATACACTTATCTTTGCATGAGAAGGGGCAGGTAATGGAGTGGCTGTGCTGAGAAAAGAAATTCAGAAAAAGAACCTCAAACATCACATAGGCTAGAAGCTAAACTACCAACAGAAATATTCTGATATCATCACCTCTACCACTGAAATGTTGAGAGTCATATTTCTTATGTGACTGTAATTTCTTGATTTGGAACGGGACATGACCTAACTGCTCTTCACAATAGCTGTTGTAGATATGCAAAAAGCTTTAAAAACTAACATGAAAATCATAATATTCACAAGCTGCCCAATCTTAATTTCTGTGCACTGAACAGTTCTTCTTCTAGTAACTTGTTTCCACCACTCAAACTACCAGTTAATGTCAGGTTTAAGATTTTATTTAATTTTAATATTCAAAGGTAATTAACAGTAAAAACAAATGGATACTTAATTTTCATGTTTCTCTATTAACTAAATACTTCACATTCATTGCAAACTGACTGAAGATTTTATAATTCAGTCATTAGCTGAACAGAGCTATGTTTTTTAACAGACATTGCCACATAGATGAAGATACATGGTACATGTCCTAGCACTCAAACCAAAGCTGAAAACAGCTCACAGGGTTGTATATTTACAACAATTAAACAAAGCATTAAAAAAAACTTGATTAGAACTTCCCTGTTACTTGGTGAAAGCAAAGCCATATATTAGCATAGTATTGCTTGTTGACAACTTCATTTTTATCTGAGATTTTTCAAATATGATGAAAAAATGGTTTGATAAAATGGTTACAGATATAATTTTTATTTCGTATCTTCTACAACCTCAGCTGCCTTCTTCCAGCTCTTTCCTGGATCTGTTCCAGTCAGACTGCCACACTCTCCACCCCACTAACTACCCTTAACATGGTCTCTATTAACAGGTTTATGGGTAGATTCCTCTGCCTCCACACGGATTTTATTTTCCTTGACCTTCTGATACTGTTGGTCATATCTATCTTCCTCAAAATCTTATCTTCCTTCACTTATACTGTCATCAACTGGTTTTCTTTCTGTCTGTGTTTTCATTTTTCTGCATTGCTTTCAGAGATTCTGTTTTCTTTGTTTTTCCTATTCACTGCAGGGGATCACAGCTTTGTCCTTGGCCCCTTCCTCTTCACTGCCTACACCATTTCTTTGGAGCATCTCGTCTCTATGCTACCAACTCACAAATCTAGTTTCCAATCCCGATTCTCTTCCTTCTGAGCCCCTTCTCTCAGCCTGCCTCTCTGACATCTCTTTTTGGCCAACTTTCTGGCAAATTAAATTTAATTGGTCCAAACAGAATGAACATCATATTTTCCTCTCAAAACCTTCCCATTGCCCTCACTGGTTCCTCTTTCACCACCACTTGAATTTCAAATCTGCTGATCCTCATTTTTAAGGTCCTTTGCTCCTGCCAATGTATTTGCTTTGTTTCTTACCCGATTCCATTTATTCTGCTTGTGTTGCCCATCTTAACTCCCTGTTTCTCCGAATAAAGCCTCCAAGATTTTTTCAATACCAACTTTTCATCATGTAATACCCTCCCTTACAGCCACTCTCCTCTCCCCTCTTCCAGATCCCCTTCCACCATGACTCCTTCAACAAAAATCTGATTGCTGAAGGCCATGTTGAGGAGAAATGGAGGGATGTCACTATGTCATGAAAAATTAAGTTTGTATCCTTTCCCAGCCTTCAAGTGATGCTTGTCCCATTAGACTATCCACTCCTCAGGGCAGGGAACATGTTGTCATCTGTATATGTAAAGACTGTATAGCATACAACAATAAATAACAGTTCCTAAGAAAGGAAAATAACCTGCTTTATCCATGTCATCCCTTTCAGGCACTGGTATTCTCAGTTGCAGAAATAGGTTACAATACATGAGGTTTATCACACTGACCATCAAAGGAACTGAGAGAGGATGTTGATGAGGTGCTTAGACTTTTAAGTGAAAATTAAGAATCCCTGTCCCATAAATTCTGCAATATAAAGGAATAGGAGTTAATTGCCAAACCCCCATCTAAAGCTACCATTTTTCCCAATGACAGATCTTCTCCATTAGATACAACAAATGCAGGAAAGTTCTACCAAAAAGAAGATGCACAAGGTTTATTTTAAGAGAACAATAAAAGTTATTCTATTTACTTAAATTTTGTTTGGTTTTTGTCTCCATTATGAAAAAGAAACCAGCACGGCAATGTTCAAGGTAATGTAATCTTCCAGTGTGAGGAGACACCTCACTTAATATGCTTTGTCTATTCTGTTTAAGCACTTCAACATCACTGTCAGTTATGTAGTTTTAAGTATCTTAAATTGCTCCGCTGTTTTAGTGGACATGGTAGATCTTTCAGTGACTGCCTCAAACGTGACAAGTTTGTATTATATAAGATTCCAATTTAAAACAAAGCTCCCTTTGTAATTACAATACACTCAACATGTGAGGTCCACTCATTTAAAAAAATAATTCTTGAAAGTAAACTCAGCTGACTCCACTTACCAGCTATAAACTCATTCTCTCAACATCCTCTAAAGATGAATGTCATTGGCACCTAGTTGTTTTTCTCACAAGAGTTTTTTGCTTTATAAGTTACATGCAAGCAGATGATTTCTTATAAGTTGATTCTTATAAATATATTATCTATGATTATCCTTACCCTCAGGCTAATACAGTATTTGATAAACTCACATTAAAGTGAACTGAAAATGAAGTATCCAGTCATATCAACAAACTCTTGGGAATGAGTTAATAGAATTTTACCTAATTTGGCATGGGACCAATTATAAAATCCCAAATTCTACTTAGCTATCACAATGTAAGTCTTATCCAGGGCTCCCTGAAGCCAGTTGACATGATCTACTGACCTTAGTGGGCATTGGAGCAGGCCTTGGATGCATAATTTTTTCCCAGTTATGTCATCTCACATCCTCTCCTTGTGATAGGTTAGATCTTAGGTGAAGGATCTCTTCAGCCTTCACAAGAGACGTCTGAGGGGAGATCTTGTAGCCGCCTATAAGCTTATCAATGTAGGACAACAGGGAATTGGAAATGAGCTATTTACCAGGGCACCCCTAGGAGTAACTAGGAATAATGGGTGCAAACTAGTGGAAAGTAGATTTAGG